AAATGCATCTTCCAAACCTGTCGTTGCAGAACCGCAGCCATTCTGCTGCGCATACGTTCTTGCTCACACATTTCAAACTCCGGGCTGTTCATGACCATAAACACAGACGCCCTACTCATGGTCTTGCTAAGACATGCATGTTCATACTCCACTCAGGCCTGTTCATGGTCATAGTCACCAACGCCCCACCCATGATCTTGCCAAGACATGCATATACATATCCCACACAGGCCTGTACATGATCATAGTCACTAACGCCCCACCCATGATCCTGCTAAGACATGCATGTACATATCTCACGCAGGCCTGTTCATGGCCACCGTCACTGTGCTGGTGCTCGTGATTCGCTTCTGCATCACCACGTACTCAGTGCGTGGATGGGAGGGTGGCGATGTGTCTATACTGCTCAAGCACTTCATCACCGGTGTCACCGTGTTGGTAGTAGCCGTGCCGGAAGGGCTGCCGTTGGCTGTGACCATCTCCCTGGCCTTCAGTGTCAAGTAAGTGTCATGTGTCAAGTGTCGAATGTCATGTGTCAAGTAAGTGTCAAGTGTCGACTGTCATGTGTCCAGTAAGTGTCAAATGTCGAATGTCATGTGTCAAGTAAGTGTCAAGTGTCGAATGTCAAGTGTCAAGTAAGTGTCAAGTGTCGACTGTCAAGTGTCAAGTGCCGAAACCCAAATGTCAAGTGAGTGTGAAAAACCCAAGTTTAGTATGTGGTAAGCGCTTCATCATATGTGTCGCCGTGTGTGTTGTAGCCGTACCCGAGGGCCCACCCTTGGCTGTCACCGTCTCCTGTTAAGTGTCAAGTGGAAAGTGTCAGGGCGTCAGTGACACCAGGTTCTAGTTGATATGAAGTGCCGAGTGTCAAGCACGAATACATTGTGTGTTTGTAGTATCCGTACCCGAAAGACTGCCTTTGGCCGCGACTATCGCCCCGGCTTTCAATGTCAAGTGTCAAGTGTCACGTGTAAAGTAGGTTTCAATTGTAGAGTAGGTATTTGATCTTGTCACGCTTTGGTAGATGTCAAGTGTCAAGTGTCAGTGTCAAACGTCGCCTATCACTGTCGCCTTGGCAACGGCGTGTTCTGCACACCCGAGTTGCGGCCAGCATACACACATCTCACTCACTTCAAGAGGTGTGCGTACCAACAGCAGACGGAATGATACCTTTGTGTTCTGTTGCTATGCACAGGAAAATGACAACGGATAATATCTTTGTGTTCTGTTGCTATGTACAGGAAAATGTTAAAGGACAACAACTTAGTGCGCCATCTGTCCGCATGCGAGACGATGGGAAATGCCACGGCCATCTGTTCCGGTGAGTGCTCGGAGTGTGAACGCGTTATATGAGATGAGATGATTACTCGGTTAAGCAGTGTGAACGCGTTATATGCGATGAGGTGGTTATCGGTTAAGGAGTGTGGACGCGTTATATGCGATGAGGTGGCTACTCGGTTAATAAATGTGAACGCGTTATATGCGATGAGATGGCTACTCGGTTAAGCAGTGTGAACGACTCGGTTAAGCAGTGTGAACGCGTTATATGCGATGAGGTGGTTATTCGGTTAAGGAGTGTGAACGCGTTATATGCGATGAGGTGGTTACTTGGTTAATAAGTGTGAACGCGTTATATGCGATGAAGTGGTAACTCGGTTAAGGAGTGTGAACGCGTTATATGAGATGAGGTGGCTGCTCGGTTAATAAGTGTGAACGCGTTATATGCGATGAGGTGTTTACTCGGTTAATAAGTGAGAACGCGTTATATGCGATGAGGTGGTTACTCGGTTAAGCAGTGTGAACGCGTTATATTCGATGAGGTGGCTACTCGGTTAAGGAGTGTGAACGCGTTATATGCGATGAGGTGGCTACCCGGTTAAGCAGTGTGAACGCGTTATATGCGATGAGGTGGTTACTCGGTTAATAAGTGTGAACGCGTTATATGCGATGGGGTGGTTACTCGGTTAAGTTTGGAGGAGGTCAATGCGATAGTCCATGAATATAGGGAGCGCTAACCACTAATCACACAGTGATACCATGTTTATCAACTAAACACACAGTGAAACCATGTTTATAAATTAACCACACAGTAAAACCTTGTTCATTAAGTTGCCACACACGGTAAAGCCATGGTTATATTTTGTTGACATGTTGCATATCATCCCCCGGCGAGGGGGTTTTTCCGGGATGTCGGATAATTTCAGACTTCTCTTCATCTATGTCTCTGTGTGTTTTGTCATAATGACGTACCTGTTTATGACCATTTCACGTGCACATGTCTGTGTTTATTGGCATTCATGACGCACGTTTGTGTATGCTTCAAGTGAATCATGTATGATCGCCTGTGGTGTATGTGCGAGTGACGTGTTCTGTGCGGAGTGCAAGACCACGTGCTTGCATTCCGTCTGCAGTGTTTGTGAATGCAATTGGACAACGTGGCCCAATCGTTACTTGCGGCCCATCTACCCGTCCACGGGTACAGTGAGTCGATCCCGTTAACGCATAGGTCAAAGTATTGGTTGAATGTGCGCATACTTTTGTTACAAAAGCGTAGTGACGGATATTGGGGTAGCCGCATCCCATGTACACGAACCGAATTCAATACACATCTTTACAATAAGACACACAACCATACACGCTTGTACGGGCGGGCCTATGTTGTACTTGCTTGAAAAACAACACACATGTATATATATATATATATATGTGTATGTATGTATGTATGTATTTGTGTGCATATGTATGTATGTATGTGTGTGTGTGTGTGTGCATGAGTCGAGTGACCTGACGCTTGCAGCGGTTGAAATGTGGATGCAAGACGTGCGCATAGTAAAAGTAGGATGTTCAGGTGTATGCCACGAGAACGTATAGGAGTATGTATGAGTATGTATACGTGTTAGTATTGCCATTCATGCACGTACAAGCATATACGTATAACGAATACGTATCGCCGCTCGAGCACAATCTGTCTATAATGTAGTGGCGGACATAGCAAGAACTGTTTTAACGCGTTTAAATGCGAACGTCATGGCCACACGGATGCGCTGAGGGACAGAGATGTGAAGAATATATCTATGTCTGTCTCTGCCCATTTTTTGAGACACGGTTCACTCACCAATATGCCTACCACCACCGAGACTGATGATTATCTCCCCACCATCCCGCTTTGTCTCTAGACAAAACCGGGACGCTCACCACCAATCGGATGACGGTGAAGAAAGGGATTGTGGCCGAGACCGCATTCGACAGCCAAACGAATACACTCGACAACGCTAAGCTGGACGAGAAAGTGCTTGGGTTACTGATGGAGGGCATCAGCTGCAACACCACCGCAGAGGTGTACCCGCCCAGGCAGCAGAATGCCGTATGTGCGAACACTAGGCATGCACACACACACACACACACATATATATACACACACACACACACACACACACACACACACACACAC